GACATTGTCACTGCGTCGCTAGAGGGGACATCTGCCACCCCGCCTTTCCCTCGAACTAATCACTCACCGGTCTGTCTGGGAAATTCATCTCCTCCCCGTCGCCTCCAATCGCGTTCCTCGCCAGTGCCCACTACGAGCAAGTCAAAAGGACAAGGTCGGAAAGTCAGATGGGGGTGGACTGGGCCCGGCTCTGGGTCGGGTGCTCTGTCGTCGCTTCGTTGCGATAATTAATTCCGCATGGATGACTTGTCGCTCTTCCTGGTTTGTCCGACTGGTCCGTCGGTCGCTGCTTATTAAATGGGTCGGACGACCAGGTATGCTTGCTTGCTTTTCTCTTCAGCAGTTGCCCCGGCTGGCACTAATTGAGATAACAGGAACGCTATTATTCGCTTAACTCCCGACGAAGGCGGGAAACGCCCTCAGTCGCGCCTTCTCTCGGCCGGTCTACCCGCCGACACCACTCTTGTGGCCCAGTGCCGCTGACACGGGCAAAGCTTGGCAAATAAGGGACAGGATTTTATACCTCATTCTCCATATCTGGGTACGCTTCGTTGTTTCTTGTCCACTGCGGGTCAGTGTAGTTTGGCTGGCTCTTGGTTGTCTCTACTCGCTACCTTAGCGAAGAGACGTTAAATGGTATTGAGAGAGAGAGACTGATTTGCGCGGATGCTCGGTATGTTGGAGTTCACTTGCTGTCGTACCACCGTTGTTGCGAGCATTTAAGTCTTCTATCGTCCTCAGCGTACTGAAGTTATTTTGGCAGAAAAGACAAAAACGCCTGATATGTACGTGATCTGTAGGTTCTGCTGAACATTAGTATGCGGGGCTTGGTCCCAGGGCAGGCCTGGTCCCAGGGCAACGTTTGCAAGCCGGCAGCATGCCTCGGGCGTCTAAGCTACATAACCTAAATCTAAATGCCAAAATCGGATTCAGCAGCAGGTTCTGGCTGGTCACTTGAAGTCCGGCCCTTGTGTACAGCGAATATAACAATGCATGTGATTATAACAGGGAATCCTCGTAACAACTTCACTAACTCCTCTAAAACTGCGCTATTCATTTCATTATTATTTTAACGCAGCTCCTTTCAGCAGCATTTTAGTAGGGAGTTTGCAATTAACGGTTGGAAGAACCGCCGTTCTCAAAGTGCTGGAGGCATACTCGATCTTAGAACAATGCAATCATATAGCATTGCGTCTTTAATCCACATCGACCCCTTTGTGCATGGCCTGGCCCTGCAAATCACTATCGATGCGGTCAGTTATGTTTTTAGCAGATCGACAGCGGCGGGGCAAAGCAACATGTAGTCATTAATTCGTCCATGCTAAAAACATGTGGTGTCATTATGGGTAAGTCAAAGGAGGAGGCGGACTGAAAGGCTAAAGCTGCCGCTGGAAATGTGCCGGTTGCGAGGACTACTCGTCACGGCTTGGCTATGATTGTCGTCCAGGAGTCCCGTCGCTGGTAAGCGTGGGAAGTCATCGCGACAGACGGCGTTTCGAGGCTGGAATTTCGGCATCGGCTTGGGGACCCGCCTGTCGCGGCCACAGGTTGCCGCACTCACACTACTAGTTATTATTCATCTTCAAACGTTTTCATTGACGTCTCAGATCAGCCCGGTTAGCTCGTATTCATCGGCTCGCCTGAGCATGCAACGAAGGTAGGAGTGTGGCGACGCCGCGTAACAGTACTCACACCGAACTGAACGGAATGCTAATGCAACGAAGATACAAAAGTGACTTTAAAATAACACATTCAATACGCGATGTCGGCGTTGTCATTTTCGTCTTACAGTTTTTCAACTGCTCAACTGCTGCGACTGAGTCTTGCCTCTGTGACGGCCTTGCAGGGGCACCCTGGTACTGAAAGACACGGCCGCCGTGTGCAGCAGCCGACTGGCGGCGACTGCATCAATAATTTCAAACTACAAAGCGATAGCAGGACCTGAGGCAGCCGATGACTCTTCCCAGGTGCGCGATCTATAAGTTAGCATGGCGCTCCAGGAAGGTAACAACACAATCTACACAGGAGCGGAAAGCTGCGGCACGGCCTGCTGCAGACGTACGGCATTCCGTTCGCCAGCCCTCTGACTGTCGGTCGGCACCACGGAGATTCCGGGCGTCACCTAGTGGCGCCTCCGCCATGCACTTCCCGTCCCTCTTTCCCCCCCTCCCCCTTGCGTGCAGCAGCCACTAACAATTACTCTTAAGTGATCAATTCACATTTCACGTCCAGTCGTAGGTCTAGTCTGCCACCGGGGCCAGGCCTAGACAACATTAGACGATTCTAGGGATTACATGCACAGGGATGGTGGGTGGGGGTTAGGGTTGGCTTCCCTGTACCTCTGGGTCCTGGGCCCAACTGGACAGTCACACGTTTTTGTTCGACAAGCTAGCCCCAGCCTAGCCCAACAGTCATGCAGACGCACTGCCTGGGCCCCAGGCCGGGATATTGTTGTCTTGCATGCTGCTCTCGCCGCAGAAGGGGCTCAAAGAGGGCCGGGGCCGCCTGGGGTTGCCGCCCCTCTGCCTCCCCACCTGCCTGGCGGACTGCGTGCATCTCCGCGCGCGTCCCTGCGTATGTCGGGGAAACGTTTCAATTCCCGCAACAGGCCAGCAAGCACTTTTTTCAACTGTTTCCGTAAGCAATTTGTGAAGGCATGCCGATTGTCCACATTATCCGGTCCGCCTTGTATGAGAGTCCTACCACCTAAAGAGATCCATTCGCATCCATCTGCGCGCTAGGCGGTGCCGTAATGGGCATAATTAGCAACGATGACTGCGACGCGTCCAAAGTCCCTGCATATTGAAGGTGCTCGCGATTACCCCACAGCCTTTACGCATACTGGCGAGCGCTGGCCTGCCCGACACCTGGGCCCGCTACCATCTGGCTGACTGTGCACCGGATCTGAACACGTCGTTATTGGAGCCTGCAGCTAATGGGAAGCCGAATTCGACAGCGATAGCAGCAGCTGCAGTCCGGGGCAACGGGACGGCGACCTCGGGAGTTGCTGGCCCAGCCGCATGTGCCGGGCTGCCTTTCTCTTTCCTGCAGCAGCAGCAGCAGCAGCAGCAGCAACTGGAGAGTGATGCAGGCAGGCGGCCAGGCTTGTCCGTGGTCCTTACCACCGCGCAGGGTCCCGCCGTGCCCTCAGACCCCATCTTCGTGTCGTATGTTGAGGTGAGAGGTAGGGAGACCTCGCCGGGCTCATAACCTGTTGTCGAGACTGCGGTCTAGGACGGCTCGGCTGGTCCGTTACGCAAGTGCAGGAAGCAGAGTTGCGCTCCGCGGTGGCTGGCCCTCGCGATCGGGCATATACGCGTCTGCTCGTAACGGGTCTGAATCAAACACCTAGCCGCGTGCGTCCCAGGAACCTAAGGCTGGCACAGCCTACCCTGCCGGGCGGGTGACAAGCGGACGACAGAGGGGGCGATAGAGGGGGTCGACAGCTTGCCAAGGCTGACGCGAGAACGTGTTTCGTTTGGTGGGTCTTGGGCAAGGTCTCTGGACGGCGTTATGAGGGGGTCCAGAGGGTTCATCTGGTTATTTCTTGAAGCGGCAGCCCCAGGGTGCGCGCGTGACTGTACCGCTGGAACTAAGGGAACTAGTTTACTAGACCCTATTAACAATACGGATTTTGTGATGTATCCACCTCCATTGCGGTGTTGCATGCGTGTGCGCCTGAAAATGGTCAGCCGTGGTGGCGCGTGTGTAGGAGCATGGGGGACAGGCTCGGCCCGCGCCATGTCTGGGACATCAGAGCCACCGCGTGCGGGTTTCACCGCAACCGTGAGACCGTCCCTCCTCCCCCTCCCCCAGCTAGTCGCCATTGTTGTACCCATCACCACCATCGGTGTCTGATATTTGGCGGTCGTCTGTGTGGTCGTTGTGGGCAGTTGGGATTCTAGGCAGGGCACCGTAAATGGACCTCTGAGTGGCGTGCTCACGCTAAGCACAGCAGCCAGCAGCCATGCCCCCACGCACTTACACTGCGGAGCTAGACACGTGCGAGTTGAGGCCGTGTGGCCCACTGCACAGTTAGCATGACCATCACACCGGCTTGCGTGCCTGAGCACGTGTGCTAGAGCTTCTGGAAAATTGATGTTCATTTATGTCAGTGTGGAAAAAACTCTTCCGCGCATTTGTGTGTGGATTCAGGAGCGAGCTGAGGGCAGTTCTTTTGGAACGCTTGCTCCTCCGAATGATGGTTTTCTGCCGTTCTCCCCCGACCCCTCTCTCCTCGCTGCAGTCACAATTCTACAATCCGGGGCCCATCGAATATGATGGCCTGGGCGGTGCCAGTAACGCAGGCCGGCCCGCTGGTGGCGGCGGTGGCGATAGCGGCAGTATCACCGCCAGCAGTGAGAGCGCTGGCGTGGACGACAACAGCGGCAATGACCTCGGCAGCCGACGCCGGCACTTGCAACAACAGCAGCGACAACAGCAAGAACAACAAGAACAGCAGCCGCAGCCGCAACCGCAGGAGCAGCACCCCTCTGCGGGTGTCCCAGCTGCAGCTCCTGCGGGCTTGTCACGACCGCCGCCGGGGCTGCCGTCAACACCGTCGACGACACCACAACATCAAGCCCCGCTGGACGCCTGGGTGGTCGCCGGCGAGGAGGTCGGCGCGGTATTCACCATGGGGCTAGGCCAGGATCTGACGAGCCTAGTACGTCAGGATAGCGCCGTACAATGGAGCGACCTGCTGCCGCCGTACGAGTACAGCCTGTACCGGATGGGCGGCCGCGCCATGGCGCTGCCGCTGGGGATCAGTGCAAACCTTCTGTACTACAATCGCGCGATACTGGATTCGTACGGCGTATTGCCGCCGCAGACGTGGCCCCAGCTGCTGGAGGCTGCAACGCGCCTGACAGGAAAGGTGGGGTCTTTTTAAATGTCGTACAGGAAGGTACGTCCTCCGCCTAGAAAAACACCTTCAGTTCGGGAGATTCCCAGCTGCTGCTGCTGCTGCAGCTGCTGCTGTTGCTGTCACCGCGGTCCTACAATTTACACCTCCTGTCCTGATGTGCATCTATCGACATGAGTTGGGCGTCAGTTGAGGCGTGTAGGCCCTCACCGTGAGTCTCTAGTTGCCTAACTTGGCAGCCGTCAATTGATGAATCCCTTCATTATGCACGCTCTCCCACGTTCTCAAGTGCAATTGGTACGGGTACAGTGCTTCCTGGCCGTATTTGCGATCCACTGTTTTGACACCAGTCCTTAAGCCCTAAGTTTGAACTCCCTCCCAAACGCTTCCTCTACTTGTGCGGAACAGGACTTGGATGGCGATGGTGCGCCCGACTACGGCTTGTGCCTGGTGTCGTATTCTTCGTATCCCGCACTACAGCGTCTGACGCCGACGCCGCTAATGCTGCAGCAGCAGCAGCAGCAGCAGCAGGGAAACGCCACCCGCGCCGCGGCTTTCGTAGACGACCTGATGCCGCTACTGCTGGACGTGTGGGTCTCCCTGGTGCAAACCGCCGGACCGCGCCAGGGCGTTTGGTTCAAGCAAGACTGGGACCTGCGGCCCTGGATAGCCGGTGCCGCCATGCAAGAGGCGTTGCGGATTATGGCAGCGCTGCGCAACGCCACGCCGCCACCAGAATCAGACGGCGGCAGCAGCAGGAGCAGCAGCGATGGCCACTTGGTGCAGTTCCTTGCCGGCCGCTGTGCGTTTGCCTTCGCACCAGGGCTATCTGTGCTGAAAGCCCTGGCCGTGGCTGCGGCTGCGGCGCCGCTGCCGCCGCCGCTGTACGGCCGGCTGGGTGCCGTACCACTTCCCGGCAGCGCCGCCACCTGGCGCCTCTCCACAGACACACTGGTTCCTTGTCAGCCTCTGACGTGTCCCTTTGCGGAGGCGATCCCCGCGGGTCAGCAGTCTGCGGCGGCGGCGTCGGCAAGCGCTGGCGGCGGTGCGGCCGTACCGCCAGCGACACTGTTGGTAAACCGCGCACAGTTCGTTTGGGTCCCGGCGGCAGCGGTGCTGGCGGCGCGCACTGCGCCGTCGGCAGTGGCACGGCAGCTGGCACTGTATGCGATGTTCACTTCGTCTTTGACACGCGAGCAGGCCATGCGGGACGTGTTGAACCCTGGGACAGGTACGGCGGATTCTTAGAGCCGACGGAAGCGATTAGGTACAAGAATAGCTGTGTAGCGAAGTTAAAACATTAATGAGGGCCTGCAGATAGAAACTGGCTGAAAAGGGCTCATTACTCAGTTCCGCTGCACTGCGATTTTACCTCCTCTTAGGATCGAGCCGATGTGCGGGTGCGCGGATGCAGTCGTCGATTTGCCGGATGTTCCGCTCCCCTAGGACTTATCTCAATTTGGTATTAGGCGAGTCAAGTAGTCACTTATTCATTCAGCGCGGTGATCCGCCACATCTCGGGGGCTATTACGTCCGTCAATCTGCCCGCCTCATCTGACGTTGCCTGCGCCCGATGTGCCTGTCTGTCTGTCTGTCTGTCTGTCTGTCTGTTTGTGTGTCTGTCTGTCTGTCTGTCTGTCACATCCCGCTTACGCGCAGCCATGGATCCGTTCCGCTACTCGCACCTGTCGCTGGAAGACTGGGTCGCTGCTGGTTATCACCGCAGCGATACAGCCGCCGCCCTGACGGCGTACGGCAGTGTTATGTCATTCCGCAACTTCGCACTGCCCCTCGCCGTTCCGGGGGCATCATCCTACCTGGGGGCGCTGCGGACTTTGACGGAGGCCTATCTCCGGGAAGTGGACGCCGCCGCCAAATTGGGGACCGCCGCGGCGGAGGTGGACGCCTCGCGGGTCCAGGCGCTACTCCGTGCCGCCCAGGACGCCGTCACCGCGGCCTTCGCTCCGAACACTGAGTCCGCCTTAGCCAACTTTGTGGCGTATGCTCGTAGTCTGAGGACGTGGACGCGGCTACCAGAACCGCCCGCCGAAAACATGGTTGGTCAAGCAGTTCCGGGGCCTCATAAAGGGGAATGTGGATGCGGGTTTGCACGACGCGGGCTTGGCATGGCAAGTCGACCCAGCAGCAGTGTTGGCTGCTCTTCCGTACAGCTTCGCTGGGCCACCCAATCGTACAACAACGGACGCCACTCCGACTCGCTTCCAGCGCCACCAGCTCCTCCTCCCACCTGCACCTCGCCCTCCGTCCAGGAGGACCCTTTCTAAACCCTAAACCCTAAAACCCTAAACCCTAAAACCGCACCCAAACCCCTCAAGGGTCCTCGCCTCGACGCGATGCAGCAAATAACAACGACACGCCCCCGCGTCTCCTAGCCTCCTGATCATCTCCCGTGGACTGCCTCATTCTGCGCTTCCACACATGGACGCGTGCCGCATTTTATTCATTTTGATGGCCTTCCGCCCTCCCCTCCCCTCCCTTCCCCTCCACCCAATTCTCCTCCGCCTTGGGAAGCTCCCCGGAGCGAGAGTGTGGGGACCGCAGGACGCAGTGGGGGCGGCTGCAAGTGGGAGGGTGCGGCTTGCAGGCTGGGCCCTGGCGGCAGTTGCGCTGCTGGGCGGCTTCGTGGGGCTTATTGCAGGCCTCCCCGTGTCGAACCTGCTGGCCAAGTGTATCCGACACGGCTGGGACCAGCGCGTCATATGGATCGGCTCTGTAGCGCCGCCAGCGCCGTCGCCTGACTTGACTATCCTGCTCAGTGACATAGAGGTGTGTGGAGGAAATGGCGGCATTGTCGGCGGAGATCTCGAAGCTCCCCGGGATTGGTGGAAGGGGCCCCGACAACAACAACATCAACAACAACACCTTTACACGTTTTTTTAATCTTGTTTCGGCTCGGCCTAAATCCGCCTTTTCCGTTATCATAGCCATTAGCGCCTTTCCCGCAACTGCCCTACCTCCGCCCCTACCTCTGTCCCTACCTCCCCCCCACCAGGGCTCCACTACCTTGTGGGAGGATCTGCCCGCTGTCGTGATGGACTCCAGCATCAGACTACACGCGCACGCGATTCGGAAGCTGCTGCTGCTGCACCAAGGGTAGGTTGCCGGGGAGGAAGAAGCATAGAAGCTATCCGCACCATCTCCGTAATGAATTTTCTTTAGGTACTCATAAGTTCAAATCCAACGTGCTTGTTGTGATTCGGGGCAGCAGGGCTTCTCCTCCTTGGCATGGCTGCTGCAATAGCATTCCGGGTCACTGTGCCGCGCCTTTGAGAGGAACCACCGTGCTCTGCATACATCCTTACTTGCCGAATGCCCTGCGGCGCCGTGTCATTGATTGCCGTCAAGCGGTTCTGTAGACCTCCTACAGCTCCCTTTATTACCTTTGCCTCCACGAGGTTGAAGTGCGGCGATAATTCAATAGCATCGCAGCTACTGTCCTATACCCTTCTTTCTGCTCTCCGCGGCCCTCGTGCCTTCGGAGTTCTTGCCGTACCCATCCGGACTCGTCCCCTGTACCTGCCCTCGCCCCAATCCCGTCGCCGTCCTCTTTGCCCGGCCCGTCCCGCCTGGTGGTGTTCGGCAGATACGAATCCGCAACCGAGGGCGACGCCTTCATTTGCGCGTTCAGGTATGTTAGCGGGCTGCTGACCACTACCGGTCGCCGGCCGCCGGCTGGTCCAAACTCAAGTTGAAGGCGGCAATGCCATCATTTCTCGTATCCTACTGCCATCCTTCACCGCTGCATCTGTAACCCCCTTTGCTCGGTCCCACAGCACCCCTGCTGATGCACTCGCCTTCGCCGTCCAGCTACAAGAGGCCCTCCTGTCTCTGCCCTGGCCGCGCCAGCTGCTTCAGCAGCCACATGCCGCGGAGCTGTACGTGGCTCCCAGGCTGCCGGGAGGCCGTACTGGCTTTTGGGGCGATACGGCTGCAAGCCAGCTTCCCAGCTGGGTCAAGGCGGCGCCGCTGGCTCAGCAGCAGCAGCAGGAGGAGCAGCAGCAGCAGCAGCAGCAGGTGCCTGAGGGGAGGTCAGCGGGCGGCGCGTTCGGACAGGCACAAGGAGGCGACGGCGACAGCGACGGCGGCGGCAGTGGTGTTCTACTGGTCCCGGAGGTGAGCGGGGGCCATCCCTACGATGTGGACATTGTCCCTCGGCGGTTCGCGTCAGGGTCTTCGCCACTTGCGGCGCCGAGAGGCTGTGGCGGAGGCGGCCGCGGCGGGGCAGGCGTGGCGGCGCCTGCGCCCTGCGCACAGCAATGCTCCGGCGGCGGCGGCGCGGGTGGCTGCGGCGAGCATTGCCAGTGCCGTTGCCGGCGGCGCATCGTCAGCGAGGTGGGCGGTGCACTCCATCAGTCGGCGAGGCGCCTACATCCGTACCAGGATCCGCAATATCACGACGAATACGGCCGTCAGCAGCCGCAGCGGCCGCAGCAGCCGCACCAGCCGCAGCAGCCGCAGCAGCCGCAGCAGCCGCAGTGCCACCCTTTTTCGGGAGCAGAGGGTAATCGCCCTCAATCCGGCGGACCTGTCCCGACAACAAGTACACCTTGCGAGCCTGCCAGTTCCACTTTTAGCCCTTGCTCCCCGCCTCGAGGAATCTCATCATCACGTCTGCGCTTTCTTTCAGTTCGCGACGCGGCTGTCTCCTCCCCGTCTATATCCGGGGGTCGACCTCCTCCAGGCCTTATGGCTGCACCCGCGGCGCTAGCTGGGACAGCACGGGAACTGCCAGTCGTACTGAGCCAATCCGTCAGTTCTCCTCCGGACCTGCAGCCGTCGCCGGCGGTGGCGACGGCGGCGGCAGCGGCGTCGATTGGCGACATTGGCGCACTTGCACGACGGCTGACGGTGAGCATCCGCACAGCGGGGCGCATGGATGGCGCTTCCGCGGCAACGCTGACGCCAAGCAATAGGATTATCCAATCGGCAGCAGCTGCCGCCGCCGCTGCTTCTGCCGTCACCGCCGCGTCGCACGCCTCCGCCGCTGCAATCGTAGCCCCGTGGCCACTATTCAAACTCTTCTCCTCACGAGTCGTTGCAGTGGATGACCGGGATGTTGAAGATGTCTGCACCGCCAGTCGCAGCGGCAGCGCCGCCGCCGCCGGCGTCGCCGCCACCGCCGCGGTCACGCTGCACGGTACGTCACCCTTTCCGCCGTATGTAACAGATGGGCCTAGCGGCAGCGGCCTGGGGACTTGCATTACTACCCGGGGCGGTACGGCAGCTGCCAGCGTCCCAGAGTCTGGTGAGTGTGCGGGGAGGGCATCCTGTGTTACAAGCTACAAGTTCCGCACGCAAGTGCGGGTGTGTCCGTAAAAGCCGAGGGGTCCATGGACGTTATATTGGTATTGATGTGGGTACGCGGGAGGTCATCATCATTCTCCCTCGTCCGCTTCAGGGCGAAGCGCCTCAGCGCGACGTGCCTGGCCTCCCAAATTTCCGAGAGGTACCTGGCCAATGCCAGGGGTGGCGCCTCAGTCATAATGGTGTGCATGCTGCGCCCCTTAAAGACTAGATCACCATCATACTTAGCCCGTATGCTCTTGTAAGCGGGACATTCATCGAAAACATGCAACTCATCTTCAACCGTTCCACAGTCACAAAGCCTGCAGGTACGCGCGGTGCGCTCACGCCCATTAGGCCTATTAAACTCTAACTCCCAACAACCTAACCGGAAACGCATGAGCACATGATGTAGTCGCTGGGGCATGGTCATTTTAGTGTGCTCCAACCAATCGAGACGCGCACCCCTAGGCGGGGCCGCTCCCATCCAGTTCATATAGCGACAAGCCTTGACTCCGGTAATCCCTGGGGAAAACGCGGGGTTCACCCAAGGTATTCGGGCACTCCCACCGTGCATCAAGCCGCTTGGCAAATACCTTAAGAATTCTCTCAACTGGTAAATGGCATCCTATGTAAAGGGCGCCTGCGGACAGAATCGCCTTCATCGAATCATACGACTCAGGATGCGAGCATGTGCCACGTGTGGCTGACCTGACTAGACAACTCCCTTTCGCCACCTTCGGCGCCCCTAATGCCCGAAATGCCTTGTGTTGTGTCTCCGGTTTCTAGACGCGGAAGGCGACACAGACCTATCGGAGCCGGCCCGCCAGGATGCCATCCCTGCCACAGCCGCCTCGTCGGCTGAGGGAACATCGGCCGGGGCAGCGGACGAAAAGCTCCAGGGCACGTACAGCAAGCTTCAGCGGCGACCAACCCAGGCTCCCATGCCTCCCAGAGAGCATGCAGCATCATCAGGATGCCCAATGCTGGCTTTGCCGTCCTATAGATCCGAACCTACGGCGGCGGCAGGCAGGGGGCGAGGATTCAGCGATGGAGGCGCAGGTGCAGCTAGCGGCAAAAGCGAACGGCGCAGTGGCGGCAACCACGGCGCTTTCGGGACGTCGGTCTTTTACGGCAACCCTACAGACCCCAAGTACGGAGGCCGTGACGGGACCGATGCCGCAGCCTCGGCGCGTTTCTCCGGGCGCTACTCGATAGAGAGTTCAGCCAGTGGAGGTATCGGCCATCTATCGTGTCCCCTTCATCAATTGCATACCAACGATTACGACGCTGCCGCTATCTTGGCCGCCAACGCAGCCGCTACCGCTGCTGCTGGACGACGCCATGCTGCTGGCGGCGGTGCTGGCGGCGGCCGGCCTGGTGGTGGTGCCGCTCGCGTGCCCGGTCCGCGAGACTTCCGCGGCCATGTGCTGTCGCAGTTCCGTCCCTGCACCTCGAGTGCGCCGGGTGCGGTCTGTGTGTACCGAGGCCTGAGGCTGCGTCTGGGGCTCCACTGCGTGGGGGAGGAGAGTCTTGGAGCTGAGGGGTCTCATGGTGTGGAGCTGAGGCCTAATCGAGCGTCTGGAAGAGTCATCTACGGGGGTGAGGGGGGAAGCGGCACCCGGCCCCACATGCACCTCTAATGCTGTATGTCGCACACCCACCCTGGCGCACCAGCGTGTCTTCCTTTGTCACTTGCATAACGTTACCGGCAACGCTACGTTGCAAACATCACCTCCTTTCCTTGTCTTGTTTTATGTCCACCCCTCGCCGCCTGTTTTGCCGGCCCTGTTGTGGCGCACTGTTTCCACGCCCTGCTTAGCCGGCCTCACCGCCACAAGACCGACCCAGGCATCTACGCACCGCAAGCATCCCCGCTCCCTCGTCCTGTCCCCTGCCCTCCCATCTGGCCCACCTGCCTTTTACTACAATACAGATACCCAGCTTGCTAACACCTACCTGAGCTCCGTACATTCCGTACGTTTCATACGTTCCGTACACCCCGTACACCCACGTCCTTTTCTCCAGGACTGGCAATGTCCGTTGCACGTGCGATCTCCAACACCGGCCATGGCGGTGCTATCATCCTAAGTGACATCACCCGGAGACGTCTTGCGGCGGCTGGTCAGTTGCTGCACTCCGAAAGCGGTCTTGCGCTTTACCTGGGGCATTACTGCCTCCCCGCTGATAAAAGCTATCGCAGACCCGGGCTGCCGCCGCCGCCGCTGCTGCCACAGTCGCCGCCGCCCATAGCGCCGGCAGCGGCAGCGGCAACTGCTGAAACAGGAGCAGCAGCAGCAGCAGCAGCAGCAGCAGCAGCAATAGCAGTAGCAAGTCCCAAGCAGGTAGCGGTTGCGGAAGATCTGGGTCTGGTATGTACATCAGGGCCGCCATCAGCACCACGACAACCACCACAAGCACCAGCACCAGCGCCGGCGGCACTGCTATCGGTGCTTGACTTGCCCGAATCGATAGCGGTGGGTGAGGCATTGGAGCTGGCCGGGGGTGAGGATGTAGCTGGTTACAGCTGGAAAGGCACTGCAAGGGGCGGCAGCTATGGCGGCGGTGGAATGGTTGCAGACAGCAGCGGCGGCGGCGGCGGCGGCAGCAGCAACAACTACAGCCCTGGCAATGGCTCGGCGGTGGATGTGGGGTTGGTCAGCTCCGGTCGATGTGAATCTCCTTTCAAGGCGTCAGCGCTGCAGATATGTACGCCCATGCACGTCCACCACCAGCAGCACCAGCGGCAGAAGCAACCGCGAGCCGTCTCTCCGGCGGTGGCGGTGGCGGAAGCTACAGCCACGGCGGTATCAGCAGTAGCACCAGCACCAGCACCAGCGGCGAGGTCCTCAGCGATGGAAAGCGAGGGGAGTTTTGGAACGCCGTTGTTCCAACTGGTGGGGGGCCCCAGGGCCTTTCTGGCCATTCGGGCGGCACTGCAACCGCCGCTAAGCCGTGCTGGAGCTTGCGTCGCTTTGGGTGGGTCGGGGCAACAGACAATCTTCATAGTAAATCAATAATGCCACTCCGGCAAGGCGAAACCGCAGCCGAGGCTGCCCGCAATGCAGGACTGTCACATGTGTGTCGTACAAACTTCCAACCCACCCAACCATCCGGCGCTTTTTGTCGGATACCGTTACCCTGGATTGACGCCCCGTCTTTGGGTGCCGTTCCGCGTGTACATGCCCTGCAGATGCCGTGCTTGCGTGTGTATATATGTGAGGTGCCAAGGAAATATCTCAGGATAGAACCAGTACGCCTCCATGGGCGCATGGAAGAAGGGTAGAACGGGGCATAAGCATAAGGGTCTAAATATGCGTATAATTTTTTTCGCTTCCGGGACTCGAACCCGGGTCTCGAGAGTGAAAATCTCATATCCTGACCGCCTAGACTATAGCGAATAATGATTGGTATATTAATCCTTATACATAGGTACATTAAGTGCACCTCTGGAGTCCATGGTGGCGGTTTCGGAGCTCCGTGCGCCAGGCTCCTCTATACTGGCCGCTTGGAACTGCGACGTGTTCGATCAAAGCATGGAGCTGATGATGGGCTGTTGCCGCAATTTGGCAGCTCGACGCGGAGTGACGCTGGTGCACGAGGGCGGCTCCAGGGTGCAGCGCAGCACCGGTGTGGTGGCATTGGGAGTCTGTGCAGACGCTGCAGCGCTGGTGCTGTGGGCATTAGACTGCCAGGCGGCAAAGTTGGAGCTACCGTGGTGGGTGGTGCTTGAGGGTGACCGTAAGAATTATCATTATAGCTTATATACATAGCACACGGGGGGGCGGTTTCGCACGTCGGGTTTCAAGTGTATCAGATTGTAGGTAGGTAGGTAGCGGCTGACCAGCAGCTGAAGTTGGCGAACCTGATCCACAGTGTCCGGCTGTGGAGGGTCTCAGATACCAAGTAGGCGCGCTGGTACGGCATGACGGACTGAATAGTTCAATTAGCTCGATATAATGTTCCTTTTTGAGCGATTGGTTCATTCTTTTCCTTTTGCGTTTTGGACAGCCTTCAGCTCTGGCCCTTGGGCCCATTACACCTTAGGCGGGCAACGCAGGTGTATACACACATACACACATACACACATACACACATACACACATACACACATACACACATACACACATACACACATACACACATACACACATACACACATACACACATACACACATACACACATACACACATACACACATACACACATACACACATACACACATACACACATACACACATACACACATACACACATACACACATACACACATACACACATACACACATACACAACCACATTACGGCAGAAGTGCTGTAGTGTGAGTGTATATATCTAAATATGTCTGTCATGTACATGTACATGACAATCCATAAGACTGGCTTGACGTAGGCAAGCAAATGCACGCACTTGCCGTGTCCAGCCAACCACAAATGTTCTCACACACTCTTCACGCGTTATGACACTCGCCATCAACATGTCATCGCAATCACAACGTTCAGGCCGTTGGAGCTTTTGGAGCATGAGTTTGGTGCGGTGCGCGCGGGCCAACCCAACAGTTGCAGCAGCGGAACCTGCGGCGAGAATGTCGGCGGGTCGGAGACCCTGGGGCCCCGACGCGACGGTGTCCGGAATGGCAGCCTGGGGCTGGCGGCCACCTCTGCCACCTCCCGTACCAGCAGCGGCACTGCCACAGCACCCGCCAGCTCCGCCCTTGGCTCGTTAGCGCGTAAGGCCGTAACTGATGCCACTTGGCGCTTCGGCAGCCGGCGTCCGTGGCGGCAGTCTGATTTCAGCGGCGACGGAGGACCTGGTGGCGCCGGCGGCGGCGGCAGCGGCAGCGGCGGCTGCTCGGATGCAGGTTTCTATAACATCAGAGCCGCCGCTGCAGCCACCGGCGGCGGCGGCGGCGGCGGCGGAGTCAGCTGGCAGCTTTCTGGCAGGATCGGCCGCCGAGCGGTTGCGGTTCGTGGCGCGGGTATGTGGCGGTGGAGTGCTCTGCGTCGCCGCCACGAACTGCAGCAGCAACAACAACAACAGCCGGAACAGCACTATCTGCCGTACTTGCCCCATCACTTCATGGTCCCACGGGTCACAGCACCGGGACCTGGCCCCGCCGCGCTCATTCCAGAGATGCCATCCACTGTACCATTGGAGGAGCCCCTTAGAGCCGCCACTACAGCCACAGCTACTGCCGCCGCCGCTGCTTCCACCATCGCAGGAACTCCGCTCCCCGCTGCCTGCGTCAGCAGTGTCGCCTCCGCTGCTTCCGCCGCCGTGGCCGACAGCGCCGCTGCCACTGGCTCAAGGGAGGGGCAGGGGGAGGGAAGCTACACGACCAACTGCGGCGTGTCAGGAACTTGTCCGGGCCGCATCCCAATGGCGGCTGACGAGGCGGCGGTGATGGCGGCGGCAGCGGCGGCACGCGGGGTGTTCTTCAAAGTAAAGGCCGTCGACAGCAGTAACAAGAGGAAGGGCGCGCAGGCCAAGAACGACCGCTTGCCGACGCTGACGGCGGAGTCGGCCTGCACGTACGGTGGCGCTGCCGACGGCGCCACCGCATCTGTTGGAGCAGTTTTCGCCGTACAAAGGCCTAGGAGCAAGGGCGGCGATTTACATTTCATGGCTCGGCCGCAGGAAGCAGCCGGATCGTCTGCTGTTGCTACTGCTGCTACTGCCGCTGTTTGTAATGAGATTGATGCTTCTACTGCGGACCGCGCCGTGGCTCAGGCTACGGCTGAAAGCGCCTCGAGGAACTTGGACCCCACGGCCCAGTGGGAGGCCTGGGCGCCAGTCGGCGGCGGCGGAGAGGGCAATGAGGCAAGTGGCGGAATAGACAGCTTTAGCGGCGATGGCGGCGATGGCAGCAGCAGCTGGATCCAGCTGCGAGCCCCCAGACGCGACCGCGAGCTGCCCGGTGAACCAGGGCATTGTCATCAAGGGCGTCCGTCATCGAGGAAATTCGTTCACGTCACGAGCTGTGACGGTGGCGGCACCGCCGCTGCCGCTGCCGGCAGGCGGCTATCATTTCTAACGACCTTCAGTGGCCTCCGTCACGACCATGTCTATGGTCGATTTCCCATCAGCGGATCTCAGTTGGCGCTGATGAAGGTTGAGAGCAGTCGGTGGGGAAGTTGTGCTTTGCTGGCGCCTCAGACGGCGGCGACGGCGACGTTAGCGGCGGTGTTGGCGGCGCCGACACCCGTGGTACCCCGCCGCCGCAGTGACAACGTCTCAACAAATGGCGCCGATGCTGGTGCTGGTGCTGGTGCCGGTGCCGGTGCCGGTGCCGGTGCCGGTGCCGGTGCCGGTGCCGGTGCCGGTGCCGGTGCCGGTGCTGGTGCCGGTGCCGGTGCCGGTGCCCGTGCTGGCGGCACACTAAGTCGCGCACGGAGTTTCACGTGCACCGCGCGCATCGCCAGCGGCGGCTGCGGCGGCCGCAGCGGAGGCGGAGGCGGCGTGTATGGGTCCGGAGGCAGAGCTAGGCGCCGCAGCCTAGCGCTGGGGGCCCTGCGCCGCCGGGACGTCTACAACAGCGCCCGCGTGCGCGGCGGCAGCGGCTACGGATACCGCATAGGGCCTGCAGAACCGGCCGCGTCGGTTGCGCTTTTGGGATCGCCGCCGCGCCGTCTTGACTGCTCCGGCGCCGCCACCGCCGGGCGGAGGCCTGTGCCTCGCCGATACAGCACCAATCTGCTGATAAGACATGTATTATATGTCGTACCATCCGCCGGTGGGTCAGCGACTGGCGACGGCGCGTTGGCCTCAGCCGCCGCTGTCGCCTCCGCCGGTACAGGGCCTGCGGAAAACATCAGCCGTGCGGCTTCACAAAGCCCAAAAGGCGACGCCGGATGGGGCGCTCGTCCGCGGCCCCCGGATAAGATTGACAGCCCGGATAATCAGCCCACAGCTTTGCCCCACAACTCCTCGGGAAGGTCACCTGACGGCCCTGCCAGCACTGGGAGCCGCTCCGGGAATGTGTACGACAGCAGCGGCCACGCTGCCGCCGCACGCATTGGCGACGGCGGCAGCGGCGGCGGCGGCGCCACCGAAAACCTCTGCAGGAACCAGGCCATCGAACCCGCGGCCTGTACCACCACCACCACCACTGCAGCAACGTATGAAGTCCACGGCTGGTCGCCCTCCCCCACGTCGCCGCAGCAAAACCCTCTGAGTCTCGGCGGTAGCGCGGATGCCAAACCAATACTGCAACAGCAGCAGCAGCAGGACTCTGCAATTGATGATGATGGCACTGCGAAGTCGCTGCTACAGCCGGCGACAGCAGAGGCAACGCCGGTGATAACAGCCATGATGAGGTCGCTGGCTCCGTCTGCAGCTGCGGATGGTCGAGTCAGCGATGGCCGCAACAAACACCCCCACCTCAACAACCGGAGCCAGCACCCTGGTGGTGGCGGCGGCGGCGGCGGCGTCGTAGAAGGCCTGCTCTTATCAGAGGCACCCGCCGCAGAGCTGACCGCGCCGGTAGCTGCAGGCCCCACTCGGAACGGACCGATGCGGGGGATATCGAGGCGCGGACCTCCCATACGGCCCACCCAGGGGAGTCTCGGCGCCAGTGGCGGCGGTTTGGACGCCCCGGTGGTCTGGCGGGAGGCGTCGCGGGGAACGGAGCCCGATGCGTCCGCAGCGCCAGGGGCATCCTTGTCGTACGGAGCTCCCGCCGCCGCCACTGGTAATGGTATGACGGATGTGGCTACCGCTACCGCTACCGCTGCCCCTACCGCTACCGCTACCGCTACCGCTACCGCTACCGCTACCGCTACCGCCGCCGCCGCCGCCGCCGCCGCCGCCGCCGCAGGCCGCCTGGTATACCGGGGCCTGCGGCTCAAGGGCGCGGTCGACGTAGGGAGGGTGCAGGTAAGGGTGGAAAGAAGCCCTCGCTTAGGGCCTTATGCCGGTATAAACATGTTCGTTGCAGTACACATTCCAGTACCGTGCCGTACAGTACGGCACGGCGCAGATTTGTTCCTGGGGATTGACGTAGCTGGGAGAATGTCCAAAGCAGCAGGGGACACATGAAGATGTATGACTACACGTCCCGAAACTCGCTGTGTGCTTAGACGTGCGGTATACGATGTTGACTTTGACTACCAGCAACATCATCTGTCTTGCCACGTCCATCCCTCTCCGTCGCGCCTCCTCAGGCTACATTGGTGGGAACCACGGGGAAGTTGCAGTACCGTTGCCGTACAGTGGACCGCGTCACAGCGCTGGCCTCGTTGGCTTGGAGCGGCCAGGCAAGTCTTGAGTGTGAATGTGCAGAAAAACACTGGCGCTGATGATGATGATAATGACGATGGTGATGGTGATGATGATGGTGATGGTGATGGTGGTCGTGGGAAGGATTCAACGCATCGAAACAGAACGTAAAAATGCAGCAGGCAGCAGGCAGCAGGCAGAAGCCACGTGCTCTATGACCCGCCTCTTTTTAGCTTCAAACGGTCGCTAGAGTTTAAAACCCGGGGGTTCCAAGTCGCATAAACTTGCCGTTAAAGACGTCAGTTGTGCAAAAGAGGAAGAACATGCCCGAGGGGGGCGCTGGCGGGGCGCCCACCGAGAGCACACGCGAGACAAGCGAGACACGCAAGACAAGCATAATTTGGCAACGGAAATTGCTGTCTTACCTTCTGCCGTAGCATCAAATGCCGTACAAATGGTTCAACAATGTGTTTTTACCAGTCTGTTGGATTGCCGGTCTGCCCGATTCCGCGCAGCTTCTGGTCACTGAGGCAGCCGTACGGAGCGCCTGCCGGCTGGCGACTGATGTCAGCCTGGAGGCGGTGTATCACCCGCCACCGCCACCGCCACCGCCACAACCACCGGCCGCATCTGCGGCAGCGGCGCCAGGCGCGTCGATGCCCTTTGACGCTGTTCTACACCAACATGTGCCGCCGCCTTGCGACGGCGACGCCCGTCACCCGCTGCACCTGCTCCTGAACCGCGGCGGCGGCGGCGGCGTCGGCGGTAGCGCCGCTCATTTGCCGTGCAGCGGCGCCGGAAGTAGAGCATCCGAATTTGGACACGGAAGCGGCCCCCGAGGCGCCAGCCCGACTTCATCGCGCCTCAGTCGGCTGGGCGTCGCCGCCAACCAAGATGTCGCTCCATGCCCCTTCCTCGGCGGCATGGCGGGCGCCGTCAGTGGCGCCGTCAGTGGCGCCGTCACTAACCCCACCAGCCCGGTGGAGGTCCAGTCACCACCTGACATGTGGCCGGCCCGACTGCAGGAGGTAGCCAACCGGACACGCCGCGGAAAGATTCTTTCGGCGCAGCATAATGTGCCGTACTTCTCCGGACTGTCCTGGCCGTCGGGACAACCTCCGATGGCGGTAGCGCCTGACGGCGCCGCTGCCGCCGCCACCGGCTTGACGACATGGGACGGGGCGGAGTCTGCCGCCGCGGCTGGTGGTGCCGTTGAGGGTGGGGTCAGTGTGGATTCCGCTGCCGCCACCTCCGCCGCCGCCGGCGGCTTGACGACGGCTTCGGCGGTGGAGATCACAGCAGTACTTGGCGGGGATGCACCCTGGCCGCTGCAGCACCCTTCTTCGCCGGTGCACGGGCGTGAGAGCATGGCGGGGAGCGAAATCACGTACGGCAGCGAGTTCACAGCGTACGGGGACAGTCGACCGGGAATACTTCCGGGCATTGACGGCATCACCGTTGCCAGCGGCGCCGACAGCCCTTTGCAAGCCGTCCAGCAGCCGCATCGCAACCACAACGGCAACCCCCAGCACGCTAGCCACCAACATGCCAGTGCCTTCCGGGCCGGCCTCAACAACCTTACACATATGTTTACTCGCATCAGCCACATGGACTCAGCTGCCCACGGCCGCCATGCCAAACCGACGGCGGCGGCGATGGAGGCAGCTGCATCTTCTGGCCATATCGGCAGCGGCGGCGTGCTGCCGCCGCCACCGCCAGGTGCCGTACTGGATGAGCGAGGCAGCGTTAGCCTGCGGCTGTGTGTACGGCAAGGAGGGCTTGCCGGTGATATCTCCTGGGTTCCAGCAGCGGCTGTCACCGGGTACGGCACGAGTTCATGTGCCTACAGCGCCAGCAGCGGCGGTGGGGCCGGCGGTCGCGGCTCCTTACAGGCGGCGGCCTGCGTGGGTGCGGGAAAGTGGACAGACAGACAGATGGTGTTATTTTCCTTGCCACACAGGCTGCAGGTGCAGAAGGAGGGGCGGGCGCTGCGGCGGGTGCTGACTGCGAGGTTAGAAACAGGCGACTGAAGGGTTGTGGGTGCTGGTGCTGGTGCTGGTGCTGGTGCTGGTGCTGGTGCTGGTGCTGGTGCTGGTGCTGGTGCTGGTGCTGGTGCTGGTGCTGGTGCTGGTGCTGGTGCTGGTGCTGGTGCTGGTGCTGGTGCTGGTGCTGGTGCTGGTGCTGGTGCTGGTGCTGGTGCTGGTGCTGGTGCTGGTGCTGGTGCTGGTGCTGGTGCTGGTGCTGGTGCTGGTGCTGGTGCTGGTGCTGGTGCTGGTGCTGGTGCTGGTGCTGGTGCTGGTGCTGGTGCTGGTGCTGGTGCTGGTGCTGGTGCTGGTGCTGGTGCTGGTGCTGGTGCTGGTGCTGGTGCTGGTGCTGGTGCTGGTGCTGGTGCTGGTGCTGGTGCTGGTGCTGGTGCTGGTGCTGGTGCTGGTGCTGGTGCTGGTGCTGGTGCTGGTGCTGGTGCTGGTGCTGGTGCTGGTGCTGGTGCTGGTGCTGGTGCTGGTGCTGGTGCTGGTGCTGGTGCTGGTGCTGGTGCTGGTGCTGGTGCTGGTGCTGGTGCTGGTGCTGGTGCTGGTGCTGGTGCTGGTGCTGGTGCTGGTGCTGGTGCTGGTGCTGGTGCTGGTGCTGGTGCTGGTGCTGGTGCTGGTGCTGGTCCTCCTCCTGTCGCAGGACCTGTAGAAAACCTTCTACTGCTTCCTGCTTTCATCCCTTGGCGTGGAGCTCGATGAAATGCGCTGGCTGGCCGGCACAACATCGTCGGTTCCATGGGATGGCCAGAGGGGGACAAAAGATGTGAAAGTCAAGAAGTCCCAACACTGGTAGTTTAGGCTCGCCATTGGGGGATTCGAACACGAATTGCCGGTCTGCGATTTCACACAGGTGACTTGTGAATAATAAGCTCACACGTTGCTTGTGCACGTAGAAGGAAGCTAGGTTACCTATTTAATTGACCCAGCCTGAACTGCACTCAGCCGGGGGGCCGTCGTGGAAGGGGCCCCGCGGCTACATCCTAATGAATCGTCGTCGGGGCCAGGTGGGGGTGTAGAACAGTGGGCAACACGGTGCCGCTAGCTGGCGTCTGTCATGTCCGTCACCCCCCAGCCAAAGCTCTGCGTGTGTGCCCTTCACTGTTCGGTTGCTTTGTACGGCTGGCGCCGAGCTATTGCGTCATTGTGGCGGCATGCATATGGCTGCAGAGTGAGCACCGTAGACACGGCTGATATAGCTGCTGTGGCTTGTGGGGGGGTGTAAGGAGGAGGAGGAGGAGGAGGAGGAGGAGGAGGAAGAAGAGGGAGAGGGAGAGGAGGAGGAGGAAGAGGGGGAGGGAGAGGAGGAGGTGTGGGAGGAGGAAGAGGAGGAGAAAGAGGAGGAGGCAGAAGAGGAGTTATGTGTTTCCGGGGTTGCGTTGTTCCTAGTTGGAGTGGAGCTGATCTCCCCTAATACTTCGATCGCGCTTGTTTGCAGTGGCTGGCAGCTGCAGCTGCTGCTGCTGGCAGAGCGCTTAGCGCATATTTATAGACGATGTGGCGTGAGTGTGTGTGTTTGCCGTGCTGTACGATGGCTACGGGGGGGTTTAAAGGAAGATGGCCAGCCGGCTGGGAAGCTACGTCAACAGTGATCCCCCATTCACGGGCTTGCAAGTGGGCCCCGTGGAGAAGGAGCCCAGGGGCACCCCCTGGCCCATGCATTACTGTTGTACTGCGCCTGTCTAGACCAAGGGCTCAATCCTTGCATGGTATTGGAGGTCCGGGTAATGGCTGGCTGGTGGCAGCCACTTGATTGGAACGGTTATTGGCGGAGGCGCAGACGCACTTAAGCGGGGGGCCGGGTGGGGGAGGCTCCGAAACCCGCCATAGTGGGTCCGCGGCAGGTTGGCGCGTCAAGCGAAGGCAACAAAGCCCTTTTTCGGAGGAGTTTTTAGATGAAACATTGTTGATGAAGGGAAGTATGTTAGACATGAGGTCGTTAGCAATTTGTTTCGGTGCCAGGATTTTAGCTTAGTCGCACGCGCACTCGTAAGGACACTTTGACCGACCCATGGGTCGTTTCATGTTGGCCGAGGACGACAGCGTTGCGCTGTTGTTTGTGCAGATGACTCGCATCTACTTGAAATACTGGTTGTTAAAAATATTTCATACTGGTGTCCCAATATATTTGACATCGCTGGTAAACACTGATAGGCCGGCTTCACTTCTGAGCTGCTTACTGAATCTAAACCTAGATTGCGGCAGTTTCGAAAGACTCTCAAAGATTGCTCTGCGTCTCAAAGGCAGACATCTCTGCGGCGCTTCCCGCACAATCTTTGGTAGCCTAAGGCGCTTTTCCATGACGGAACAAATGGCATCAGATCCCGACAAGGTATGTCAGCACCTCCAGCACCGTGCTGCGCAGTTTCGGGACGGTCATGTTGGACAAAAAGCCTCGGTTGAGGCGGCGAGCTACAGAGGAAAGTATTTCTCGCCAAGGTCTAACAAGGAGGAGCTGCGTTCTCCGCGCACCTATAATAATATCTGACCTGCTGCCAGGGCTTGCCTCCTGACTCGCACCTAGGGGTACCTTTTCCTCCAAGGCGCCGCGCTCTCCTGACCAAATCAGATGTCACCCGAAAACGACGTGAATGATCAGCACGCTCGACATGCATGTCCGATGTGGACATCTTTTCTCGTTCCTCAAAAGTGTTCTTTCTCGAAAGATTGTGAAAGCCTGCTGGCTGCTTGTCTTTTTCCTGAACTCCCTCTGTCATCCGCTTCCCGAGCACGGCTCCACATTACAGCGCCAAACACCAAAGTCCGAATTACTCGCCAAGTTTGAACTTTGACGCAATCTATCATTTTCCCTGGCAATAAACGAACGCTAAGTAAACGCATCTGCTGCAGGTGGTCCTGATTCCCGACAACGAGATCCAGGAGGGCCTGGTCCTGGCTGGCAAGCTGTCGCCGGAGGCCCTTCGCCACGACACAGCTCGCCACGCGCACGAGCAGGTCGAGCACATGGGCGACCCACATCCAGCCGCAGTCGGCCCCAACACGCCGCAGCTGCAACTGCAGCAAAACCAACCGCAACAAGATCAGCTGGCGGAGGCATCTGATACGCGCCACCGGCTGGCACCCGCGGGAAGTGCTGGCGGCCAGTCGGCCGCACCGCAGCCCGCTTCATCACCTGCAGCTGGGGAGTACGGGGCGGCGGTGAAATCCGCGTCCAGGTAGTGTCGTAGCCGTACCGCAGCCGTACCATAGCCGTGTAGCCGTACCTTCCCCTCCCCCCTCCCTTCTCCTCCTTTCTCCCCCTTTCCCTCGTCCACCTTTCCGCGCTCTCAGTGGCCCCTCGATAGTGAATCACCGCCGGCCCCTGCCCCCCTGCCCCCCTGCCCCCCCCTGCCCCCCTGCCCCCCTGCCCCCCTGCCCCCCTGCCCCCCCCTGCCCCCCTGCCCCCCTGCCCCCCTGCCCCCCTGCCCCCCTGCCCCCCTGCCCCCCTGCCCCCCTGCCCCCCTGCCCCCCCGTCCCCCGGATTTACCCGCTCCCTTAAACCGGGGACGCCAGGGACCCCGCAACGGCCGGTGGTGGTGGTGATGGTGGTGGTGGTGGTGATGGTGGTGATGGCGGCAAGACGCATCACATACCGCACCTGCCGCATTTGGGCTCCGCTGTACGGCATGTACGGGACACCGTCGTTGGGCTTGTGGAAAAGGTGGAGAAGGTGTGTGTGCTTGTGTATGTATGTATGTATGTGTGTGTGTTGCTGCTGTATTTTTCCTTGTCCTTGCCTACCCTTTCTTCAAGCGTTATGTGTTTTGCCCTTTGAATGTAAAGTAGGGGACACTCAGCCCCGCCTCCCCAAAACACTTAAGACGCCGCCATCGCCGTCGTACAGTACTTGGTATTCTTCATCCCTCTGCCCCCACAAAACAATTAACTATTAAATATGGCAAACATATTGCGCACTGGATTTCTGTTGTAGTAGTGAAGTGAAGGAGAAATGTTCCCTCCCTCCCCCCATTCGTACACACCTGCACGGGGCTCCATACACAGGCTGTCGGCGTCCTGCCCGCCACCCACACAGGGGGGGAGACCGCCGCCGCCGCCGCCGCCGTCGGCCCGGATGTTGATGTTGCTGCCGCCATGCCCAGCACAACGCACACTGCGGTACACGTCGTACCGCCGGGCGTGGTGCTTCCGCCGCATGACCCCGCCCAGGCAGCGCGGGAGCGCGAGGAGGAGGAACGGCGGCAGGCGGCGGCGGAGGCGGCGGCGGCGGGGGAGCTGCTGGCGCTGCATCACGAGCTGCCCTCCCTGGAGGTCATTCGCGACAGCGCACGCGGCTTTGCGGACTCTCTGAGGCACAGCGTGAGGGAGCCCGAGGAGGCGGCGGCGGAGCTGGCCGGTTTGTGTGTGTATGTGTGTATGTGTGCGTGTTTGTGTGTGTGCGCGTGTGTGTTTTGGGGGCGGAGTGCGTGTGGGTTATCGGGAGGGGGGGCCGTGTTTGTGTACGTGTGTATGTCATAACCAAATCTTGGAGGGCGGAGGGAAGGAGGGCGGGCTGGACGTCTGTGAAGCCCATCAGGACGCCGTGAGGCCAACCCCCCCCCCCGGGTAGTGTTCGTGTTCGTGTTCGTGTTCGTGTGGACACGTCGACCGTGCCCACGTCCGCGGGTGAAGCCGCCGCCTCGTTGAATCAGCTCCTCGACCCGTAACCACCACCATCTGGTCCCCAACCGGCGCTCACAGCAGCACCAGCACAGCTCTTCGAATGCTGTCACTTCCCCCTTCCCCCCTCGCCCTCCCTCTCCCCCTCCCTCTCCCCCTCCCTCTCCCCCTCCCTCTCCCCCTCCCTCTCCCCCTCCCTCTCCCCCTCCCTCTCCCCCTCCCTCTCCCCCCTCCCCCTCCCGCCTCCCGCTCACCCGCCATCGAT